ATATGGGTGAGACTTCATATGTGATTGGAATAAGAAATATTCTGTGATAGATCACATGGGATTTTAGGTTTATCCTAGAAGACTCACATTAACAAAGTTTTAGAAAGATATAAACTGAAAAACCAAAAAAAAGAAAAAAAAAAAAAAAAAAAAAAAAAAAAAAAGAGGGTCCTGTGATACTTACAAGGCACTAAGGACCACATGCTCACCTATAAAAGGAACGAATAACCTGGAGGTTATAAGTTATTCGGATTCAGACTATGTCGGATGTTTGGATACCCGTAAATCCACATTCGAATATATTTTTCCACTTGCTCATGGAGCAATATCTTGGATGAGTGTGAAGGAGCCTGTCATTGCTACTTCCACTATAAAGGCAGAATTTGTAGCATGCTTTGAGGCTACAATTCAATCATCATGGCTGCGTAATTCCATTTATGGTTTGGGCATTGTCGACACTATAGCCAAACCATTGAGGATTCATTGTGATAATACGGCAGCTATGTTCTTCTCAAAGAACGACAGATATACTAGTGGTGCCAAGCACATGGGTTTGAAATTTCTGTCTGTTAAGGAGAAGGTACAAAATCAAGAGAGTATCAATAGTGCACATTGGCACCGATCTTATGATCACGGATCCGTTGACTAAAGGATTGGTGCCCATGACCTTCATTGGCCATGTTGGGAGGATGGGCATACTGGTAAAGTCCTTGTATAACGGTTAACACTGCCATACATGTATGGATTTATGTTTGATAGCACATCAGGTTGATGATACTCTTAGATATCTATTCAGGTTTTGATTTTGTTATGGTTGATGTTGATCACTTATTTATGCATAATTCAGAAGTGATAACAATGGTCTTGTTTAAGACATAAGGAATAAGGTACTTTCGGATTTTACCTTATTATTATAGTTCGAATTCTAATTAACTGTGATACATGGAAGGGAGCGGGACGCTATGTCAGGCCTGTAACCGCCATGATTCCGTTAATAAAGTTCGATAAGGTGGTGACTTTTACATTTTCATATTAAGTGAGCTCAAATTAAGGATTGAAAATTGTAAAGTCACGCATATATGAATCAAGTGGGAGATTGTTAGAAATAATTTATTCCTAACGTTGATTCATATAATTAAGGTGTCATGCTTATATGAATCAGTGGGAGACTGTTAGAAATAATTATTTCATAACAATGATTTATATAATAAAGGTTGCAATTCCATAAGGTACTCACGTTGATGATTAGTGATGTGTAAAGGCGGAATTACTGGGTGAAATTCTCTCCCTCTCATTCTGTTAAAATTTAAGTTTATAAGGGTTAAAAGATGTATAATGGATAAGGTTATGGGTCTCACAATCCTAAAGGGATTTCTATTCCTAAAGGAGGTCACATTCCTAAAGGGATTTCTATTCCTAAAGGAGGTTCCCCATTCCTCTTGAAAGAGGGTTTCTCATCACATCTATAAATACCCAGGAAAACTCTAGGGATCTTAACGGTTTCAAATCTCTAAATTTTCTAGTCTCCATATCATCAGGAGGTGAATAAGGTATACGGATCAGAGAGGTGAAGCATTATATTCTTGATTCATTCAATTAAGAGATTACATCTTCAATGGAACCAAGTAAATCTTATCTTTCCTATTTAATTAAAAGTCCATGATCATGAACATTGTTTAATTGATTGATTTGATTTACATGCGATCATTGTTAATTGTGCTTCCGCATTTAAGTTATAGCGCATAAAGGATTAATTTAACAATATCAAAATCTACGGGCTCCTAAACCAATTTAGTGATGAATGACAGATAATACAAATAGACTAAAGAAACCAAATCACAAAATGGGAATCATATTACATAATGTGTTGTCTAATAACTTACCATTCTTCCAGCAAGCACCTTTCTCCCTTTAGTTTGCTTCGCTGCTAGCAATTCTTCTTACCAGGCCAGTTGGGAGTTATATGTGAAATAACCTTTTAAGACAAAGGTCCTGTTTTGTAAAATAGTTAACTTATATGTCAATTTTGACTTATTTGACCACTATTAATTGTTTGACTTGGTTAAAAGATCAATATAAGTGTTAAGTGTTTGGTTTATTTTTTTTTTGTAACTTTAAAATGTTAAAATTCAAAAAGCTAGTCAAAGTAACTTTTTCAATTAGCTTTTTGAAAAAATAAATTATATCAAATAGCTATCAACTAACAGTTAATTTACCAAACACTTTTCTACAATCAGCTAATGTTATCAACCAATTATACTTTTTAATTAACCAAAACCAGCTAACAGCCATCAGTTAACAACGATTTACCAAACAAGGCCAAAACAATATACAAAATAATATATGAGTTGAGAGAAGGTAATTAATTGTAATATTCATGTGTTTAACAGATAGAGATATATCATACCATCTAGAAGTAACCTTTGTTGCACCAAAATGATTTTGAAATTTGTGGCAGAAACACGTACAATACAACTCATACAAACTTGTTATATCACATCTACAGCTTTTACAATTGCACGCTCCATCTCCCTTTTATAGATGTATGTAAGTGGTACATAGTTTTGGAAGAAGAATTAAAGGGATACATAGAGGGAGAAAATTCTGCATTGATTGTTAACCACTCAATTGCCCAATAGTTTTGAAACTCTCCACATTCCAATGACGTTAAAACAATGTGATATATTTAAAATATCTTACAATTCCAATGTATCTGAATTGAGTGTGTCTCTTAGATCTAAGAGCTTATTAATTTCCAATGACTTTAGAGTTCCATGCTTTGTAATTATATGTGCAGCCCAAGAAAATTAAACATTCATTTAGTTGCCAAATTAAATACTTCCTCCCACGTTTTATCTGTCATAGTTATTATTTATTGGTCAAATTAATTCTTTCTTCTTTATTTATTTTAATTAGTATTTTTTTAATTTTTAAATTTGATTTGTTGTGGTTAATAGTACTTTTAATGTAGTTTCTAAATATAAAAATTTTACATTGTAATTCTAAACTTAATATTATGAAAAATTAATTTGTAAATAACTTCAGTCAAGTTTTATTAACCGAACCCGACACATAAAATGAGACGAAAAGAGTATATTTTTTCTATATTGCATTTGTTTCTCCTATTTTGGAAAGCATTTTTTTGGGCGGAAAATCCTACTTTTTTATTTGGGCATAACATTTTTTTTTTTTGAAACCAAACGACCATTGCATTAAATTGAATCCAAAAGAAGAGAGTTACAAATGATAGGAGGAGGGTCCGTGAACCACTCCGAGCAATCAGACAAAGAAGCAGGCTGTCTTGCTAACAAGTGGGCTGCCTGATTCGCAGATCGCTTAACGAAACATAAACTACAATGAGCAAAACTACTCATTAAGTTTTTGATATCAGCTAAAATCAAATGAAAGGATGAAACTCCAATCTCAGAATTGAAACTCTGAATTACTTGTAAGGAGTCGGACTCAATGATAACGTTGTCAACGTTAAGGGATTTGAGCCATGATAGTGACTCACGGATCGCCACTGTTTCGGCCTCTTTAGATGAAAACAATCATCTCTAGTACGTTCCCCTTGCAGCCCTGAACTGTCCATGATCGTCCCTTAACACACAGCCAAATCCCATGCGGCCTTCGTTGGCACTAATGGCAGCATCAACGTTCAACTTCATGAAGCCAATCCAGGGTTTTTTTTCCACCGGTCATTAGGTGCAGCAGTTCTCTGCATATGCTAGTTGTCTGTGGTTGCAGCAGTCCAAGCGGAGTAGTATGCCTGTGATCTTGTTATTAAACTGCTCGGCGATTCGATGGATTGGCTTCTCCAAACAATATTGTTTCTCAGATTCCACACATTCCAGCAGACCATGGAGAAGGTACAGAACTGATCATCAGATAAGGTGGCCAGCGCGATATTCAACCAAGTCTGGAAGTTGTATGTGGTGCATTGAAGAGAATTAAAGTAGAGATAATTCCAGCAAGACTTGGTGTAGCTGCATTCTGCGAGAAGATGAAGGATGGACTCGCTGCGGCGGCTGCACAAAATGCATTGTTCATCACAATTAATATGCCTCTGTCTTAATCTATACTTTGTAGGGAGGCACGAAGTGCAAGCCTTCCATAAGAATGTCTTGACTTTTGGCAGAAGCTTACAACTCCATATTTTGCTCCAATGGTTAATATCTTCCAATCTCAACACTCCACCAATGGCCTTGTAGCAGCTTTTCACCGAGAACTTCCCATTGTTTTCAGGGCCCCAGATAACTATATCCTGCACATTCTGATTGGAAAGAGGAATCTTCATAATCAAATCTGCATCTCTGGTGGTGAAGATCTCCCGAATGATGTTCTCATCCCAATACTTAGTAACTGGTTCAATGAGGTCTTCCACTTTGGAGTGTTCCATGAGAGGGTAAGGAAATGACATAACTTTTGGGTTGTTGATATCCGGTAGCCAATTATCTCCCCAAATGCGAGTGTGAGAACCATTGCCAATCCTCCATCTTGAATGCTCACGAATTTTGTCTTGAGTAGCCATTAAACTACTCCAAATGAAAGACGGGTTGGCACCTAATCTAGCATCAATAAAAGAAGAGTTAGAAAGTATCTCGCCTTATAAATTCTTGCAACCAAGGAATTGGGATCAATGATTAATTTCCAGGATTGTTTACTAAGAAGAGAAAGATTGAAACCATGAAGATCCCGAAAACCAAGTCCACCCCGTTTCTTTGGAGTGTAGAGACCCTTCCAGCTTTTCCAGATGATACCTTTGCAGTTGCTACCACCACCTTTCCACCAATAAGATTTCATAGTAGTTTCTACTTCTTGGATTAACCCTTTTGGCAGAAGAAATACCCCCATAGCATAAGATGGAATAGCTTGAAGGACAAATTTCAGCAAAATCTATCTCCCAGCTTTAGAGATAAATCTATGATTCCATCCCTGAATGCGGCTCACAATACGATGTTTGACAAATTTCAGAATGTCAGTCTTATTTCTGTCGATGATCATAGGGAGCCCCCCAAATAGTTTCCATTATTGCCACTGTGATGAATGCCCAAGATGTTGCTGAGCTGATCTCTCACAGGATCAGAGGTATTTTTGCTAAAAGCCAGTGTTGATTTGTTCAGGTTTATACATTGACTAGAGGCTTTCTCATAGTCCATAAGAAGTTGTTTCAGATTTGTTACTTCCTCCACCGATGCCTTGAAGAAAATGAAGCTATCATCGGCAAAAAATAGGTGGCTAATAGAAGGAGCATTTCTGGCCATTGTGAAACCATGAATTCTGCCAATTCTCTCGTAATCCCTGATCATAGCACTGAATCCCTCAGCAACCAAAATAAACAGATAAGGAGAGATATGATCTCCTTGCCTAAGGCCTCTTTAAGGTATGATAGGACCAATTTCCTGCCCCTTGTTCAACACAAAATAGCTCACAGTTGAGACACACTCCATGATTAAATTGATCCATCTTACATCAAAACCCAATTTGATCATAATGTTCCTCAGAAGGGGTCACTATAATCTGTCGTATGCCTTACTAATATCCAACTTGAGGGCAGCTAAACCATTTTTCCCCTGGGACTTACGTTTCATATAATGTTGCATCTCGAATGCAATCATTATGTTGTCGGTGATTTGTCTTCCTAGGACAAAAGCACCTTGATTCTCAGAAATGAGATCATTCAATAAGCCCTTTAACCTATTTTCCAACGCCTTGGCAAGAATCTTATAGGCAACAGAACATAAGGCAAATGGCCTTAAGTCGGCCATGGTCTCAGGGGTGAGTTTTTTAGAAATCAACACGATCTGGGTTATATTAATGTTCTTAGGCAGCTTTCCAGAGGTCAGAAATTCATTACAAAAATCCACCAAACTGTCACATAAAATATCCCAATACGATTGAAAAAACCCCGGATTAAAACCATCAAAACCCGGGCTCTTGTCCGGGTGCATGCCAAAAACTGCCTTCTTAATATCAGATGTAGTAAATCTTCTTAATAACATTCTGTTGTGGGAGTCAGTAATCCTAGAGGTTATACAATTCAACACAAGATCACAATTGCCAGCTTCAGAGGAAAAAAATATTGGAAAAATAATCCCTTACCAGAGAGTCTAGGCTGGGACCTTGAGGAATCCAATTGCCTTGCTGTTCACGAAGTCTAAGTATCTCATTGTTCATCCTTCTCTGATTCACCGCATTGTGGAAGAATTTCGTGTTGTTATCACCACCTTTGAGCCAATAGAGCTTGGCCCTCTGCTTCCAGAATTGGTTTTGTCTATCCAAGATACAAATCAATTGTGATTGGACAACAACAAAATCTCGGATACTCCCTGCTCTGTTCTCGGTCTGAGGAACTCCAACCTTTTCTTAAGATTGTCGATCTGTGGTTGCATGTTCCGATTATAATCTATGCCCCACTTCCAGTTCTCATAGCTACAAATCTCAAATCTGGAACTAATTTGAAGACCCTGAGAATTTGACCAGCTTTGATGAACAATTTCTCTGCACCGCGTCTCCTTCAACCAATAATTTTCGAATTTAAAACACCTACGTTTCCTTGATCTTGAAGCAGGAGACGGCCAGATTGCTATGGGAATATGATCACTTGCAGGTGCTTCGAAAGACTCTGCATTTGCTCCTTCGAACAAATCTAGCCAAGTGTTGTTAACCATAATACGGTCGAGTTTCTCTCTAATCCAGTGAGAAGTCCCTCTCCCTTTTTCCCAGGTGAACTGGTAGCCCTTGAACCAATGATCTCTAAGTCCACAGTAAACAATGGCTTCATTGAAGCCATTCATGAGCCATTGGGGTTGAGCCGCTCCTCCGATTTCTCTTCTGGGACGCAAATGTCGTTGAAGTCCCCCATAAGCATCTATGGTAGAGATGAAGCTAGAGAAAGATGCTTTAGAAGGCTCCAAGATGCTTTCCTTCTGTGTCCTTCAGGATTCCCATAAAAACCAGTATAACGCCAAGTGGAGGGAACATTACTCATCTTGACTGTAATGTCTGTGAAGTTGACAGAACTATCCAGAATGTTGATCTCCAAAACTTTATTCCATAGTAAGGCTAATTCACCACCTTGGCCCACACTATCCACTGTGACAATATTATCAAATTTCAACTTGTTCCTTATACCATCCATTTGCACCGCATCAAGCTTTGTTTCCATTAAAAACAGAAGAACTGGCTTTTTGGAGTGGACCATGTCCACTAAGACTTGAACTACCGTAGGGTTGCCAAGCCCCCGACAGTTCCATGCTATAAAACTCATTGAGGTAGGCGGGCCTGCGTTGCAAGTCGTGCCTCTAGCAAGTTTTTTGAGAGATCCAGATCGGCCTCGGGAGTGAGCATATTCCTATCTTGCATCTGGTCAGAGAAATTCGGCCCTTTCCTTTTTTTCCTCTAGTCAAGCCCAAAAGACAAAGAGTCTTGATACCCCAAAAACATTGGGCTTTTCATAATGGGCTGGATAGAAGTGTTGCAAGTTTCAAAGGTGCCAGGTGAAGAGATTTAAGAATCTTTGTTGATAAGCATAAGGGCCTGCCCAAACACCATCGGTTGACTTTGAGGACATGCTCCAGCTGTAGGTGAGGCGGTATTAAATGCTCTGTTCATATCATGGTTGGCAGCTGTCGTCTGCGCCTGGTTGGTAGCATTCTGATTATTAACCGGCGGATAACAACCAAACCCACATTCCTTTTGCCCACTGGGTACCTCGTACCTAGGAATTCCCATCTCGTGGTGTTCCGGGTTGGTGTTGGCCGACGCCTGATTTTCCGGCATGGATCTTCGGTCAGGCCGCTGGGAGAGAAGCCATCTATCGGCTTGGGAGTTTTGACGTCTACTCACAGCTCGTAGCTCAGGACCATAAGCTCTAGCTGTCACCGCCTCATTAGAATCAAACTCTTTATCACAAAAGTTCTCACTATGTCCGATCAGACCACAGTAGAAACAAAATGCAGGTAGCCTCTCATACTTACTTTCCAAAGTTATAACTTCCCCCGCTGCACTCTTTATTTTAATCTTTTGACGGAGAGTCTTTGAGATGTTTATTCGGACTCTCAGTCGTATGAACTCGATCCAAGTTCCATCGTAGTTAGCTAGATCTGCCTTAACGAACTCCCCCAGTTGAGAGCCTATGAATTCTGCCATTTTGAGGTTTACCAAACGTTTGGGTATTTTATGGACTTGTACCCAAAACTCAGCTTTGGAGAGGTCCACATCAAAAGGTGACTCGTTCTCCTGGATTTGATGAAGGTTGAGGAGGCGTTGATCGAAGGACCATGGTCCTTCGTTGAGTACCCTCCTAACATCCTTTACGTGGAAAAACTGGAACATGAAAAGGTTGGTTGCAATCTCCTTTGCCATCATTCCTTTAACAGGGCACCAAATGATTGCCATTGTTTCCTTCAGGAAGTTGAACTTCATTGCTTTGTCAGTCAACAGAGTTCCCACCAACGTAAAGACTCCATCGCCGTGGGTAGAGCCGTCAAAACGGGCTTAGCCCGCCGGGCCGGCCCGCCCCGCCCTTACTTAGGTAGGGGGCGGGTTTTGAAAATAGAGGACCGTTTAGGAGCGGGCTTTTTTTGCCCGCCCCGCTTAGGCCCGCGGCCCGCCAAGCCCGCCCCGCCGGGCCCGCGGGCTACCCGCCATTATTTTATTTTATTTTATATAAAACATTTTTATATAAAATATGCACTTTAAAATTATTTTTATGTGTAATATTTTTGAACTTTGTAGTTGTGACTAGTTTGATGTTTGATAAACTATGAACTTTGAACTTTATGTTTGATTATTATGTTTCATGTGAGTTATGACTTATGTATCAAATTATTTTAATTAGTTTGATGTTTGATGAACAATTTTTTTTTTTTTTTAAAAAAGGGTTTTGGGCGGGGGCCTGCCTAGCCCGCGGGCCATTGGCGGGGCGGTCCGGGCCTGTCAAACCTAGAACCGTTTAGGAGCGGGCTTTTTTAGCCCGCCCCGTTTAGGCCCGCGGCCCGCCCCGCCCCGCCCCGCCAGCCCGTATTGACAGCACTAGCCGTGGGTGTTCCAGGCCTCATTGTCTTCGAAGGGCATGTCTACATCCACATCATCTTGAATACTTAACGCTTCGTACTGTGACTCCAGTGGTTCCTTTCCTCTACTGCTTGACGCCATGATCTTAGAGTGCACCTGTGGGCAAAGATGGGTAATAGATGACACAGGGGAGTGGCAAAAACAAGGTCGCTTTTTGGTGCATTGACTCAGGCTTAACGTACACCAACAAACTGGTATTTGGGATATATGAACTGGAGGCCAGCTAACATCATTCAATGCCATAATGGAGGTTGGTAGGAAGCCTCATAAATGATCAGAACCCAGGCAATAAAACCGGGAGAGCTTGTAAAGATACAAGAGAAAGAGGCTTGTTAACTAGAACAAGAGGAAGAGGCTCCAGAGGAGAGAAAAAAACGCATATCTGCAAATACTTGAGGGGCTAAGTGGTCTTTATTCTTTCCAATTTTTTTTTTTTATATACCTAAGGTTTCCACCGTCGGATACAGTGACTAATCACCTTGTTAAATTGTAGACACTTCTTTTGGGTGGGACAACTGACCTGAAGATTTAAGGCTGCTCCATTCCCAAAGCCAAGGATCGAATCCTTGACCATTATATATTATATGTATAGATGTATAGATTGTGGACTAACAGTACAAGTTAAATCCTAATTTAAAACGGTGTCATTTCAAGTTAGTGTGGGTAACAAGGTAAATCATAGTTCATGATATAATCCTCTACTATAATAAAAGTCCTGAAGATTTAAGGCTGCTCCATTCCCAAAGCCAAGGATCGAATCCTTGACCATTATATATTATATGTATAGATGTATAGATTGTGGACTAACAGTACAAGTTAAATCCTAATTTAAAATGGTGTCATTTCAAGTTAGTGTGGGTAACAAGGTAAATCATAGTTCATGATATAATCCTCTACTATAATAAAATAAGACTTTTTAGAAAAATAAAATTAGGAAATTTTTCACGCTGGGTAAAAACGACCCAGTTTTGATGTATTTTTACAATATTAAATTATAACTATTAGTTACTGGCTCTATTACATTGTAGTATCTGTTCATATACTTTCTCAACCTACTGAAACACAAAGAACTAATAACGCCTCCTCTAAGGCTCAAACTCATAATCTTCCAAACAGAAGTCCAACCCGGGTACCATTGGACCACATAGTCCTGGTTAGTTTTAATATTTAAACTTTAACAAATTTTGTATTTTCTCGTTTCTCATGTTTCAACACAAATTTTAATTTATTCTAGCCAGGTACATGACAAAATCAATACTCTTAAGGTACATAATTTCATAACACGAGACACAAAAACTCACAACACAAGACACATACACATATTATATATTTACTTATACTCAAATCTGATTTATGTAAATAATATATGTCCTATAGACACATAATTTCATAATACAAGACATAAATTCGTAAAATAAGACACACAATATGTTGTGTGTTACACAACTACTAATCTATTTCAGGTACAAAATTCATATGCTTAAAGTACAAAATTACATAGATACATAAATGCATAACACATACACATTGCATGTTTTATATTTACTTTACTTCAGTTATAGAATCAATATTCTTAATGTACAAAATTGCATAACATAAGGCACAAAAACGCATAACACAAGACACAAACGCATAGCACAAGACACAAAAGCGCATGTTATATATACTTTATTTCAAGTACATAATCCATACGCTTGAGGTACAGAATTTCATAACATGACATAGAAATGCATAACACAAGACACATACACATGCTTTACAGTAAAAAAAAAAAGAAAAGAAAAAAAAAACATGTAACGTGAATTGAACAACAAACAGTCGTCGTCAAAATTAAAATTCAAAACTATGTCGTCCACGGTATAACGATTGTTTGCGTACTGACATTTTTATTCTTAGTAAAACCACTTAGAACTCATGGTAGTCCATCTCTCTAAACGCCTAACAAATTATTGTGTGGACCACGATCCAAAACGACGTTGTTTTAATGTTAAAAATAATCCCGTGCTCCGCGTGCTTATGTGTTAAAATAATGAACCTTCTAGGGGTAAGATAATGTATTTTATGAGTTTTAATAATGTACTTTATGTGTTAGAAATGAAATTTATATTATGGGGTATGATAATGTATTTTATGAGTTAGAATAATGTACTTTATGAGTTTGTTTGGCAGAGCTTATTTAGGAGCTTATTTTTTTTTTTCATATTTGTCCTTATTATTTTAAAGAAATGACATCCTTTACCATTCCTAATTAAAATCATTTTCTCTTCTCCTTTATCCGCATGTTTCATCGTAATTATTATTATTATTATTATTATTATTATTATTATTATTATTATTATTATTATTATTATTATTATTATTATTATTATTATTATTATTATTATTATTATTATTAGGAAAAATGGTCAAATACACCCCTGAACTTTATACAAGAAGTCAATTAAGCCCTTGAACTTTAAAATGTTGCAATTAAACCTATGAACTTGTTATTTTTGTGCATTTAGACCCTACAACAAGTTAATTACATAGCAGGTGAGATACTGATGTGTCCTTTTTTTTTTAAATAATTACTACTAATAAAATAATATAAAATTTTTTTTAAAAAAAAAAAAAAAAAAAGAAGGAGAAGAAGAGAAAATGGCAGCCATCTTCTTCTTCTTGCCTGCTAGCCTCCTACGAAAAAGGAGGTGTTGGTACCGTTGGTAGAAAACACAAATAATAATCAAAATATGATTATTATTTTTCTGGAAATAAGGGAAGAAAAGATGAAGAAATTTGGCTAGTGTTTGGTGTTGGGTTTTTGCAAGAGTCAAGTAAGCACTCTTTCCTTAAAACCTTATTTGCCACCTCCTAAAGATGCTAGGAGTGTTGTGGCCTAGGCTTCCCAGGATAAAACTTGCTAATGATTCAATGTTTGAGCACTCAAACAAGGAATCCGGCGAGCAAGACAATGGCTATGAACACAGTAGGCCAAGAAAGAGTAGGAGCAGAGAGGTTTTGAAGCTGGAAAAACGAAATTTCGTGTTCTATTATTGTGTGTAAAATCTCTACTGCCCAACTCCTCCTTTTATAGGGTTGAAGGAGCCAATAGCCTTTATTATGGCAATTAAAAATGACATTAAAGCT